AGCAGCAGTTCACACTAAATAAAAAATACAATATTAGCATTAATATAGAAATATTAACATCCAAAATCACAGAAGTCCAATATTTTGCAATACAAGTACATCCTGCAGTTGTTTCATCTTCACAAAATAACCAAACCAAGTATTGCCCATGCTAAAAAAGCAGCACACCCCCAAACATTTAAAAATATCCTTGTCTTCAAATAGACTAACACACTAACATTGCTACATGAAGAACTTGGGAGCTTGAAGAGTTAGATATGTTGTTACTATTCAACCTTAACTTGTCCTACCTGTACAGAGGGTATAGATTTTAAAAATGGATTTTTATGTCATGGGATGAATAATGAAGTAACCAGAAAATATATCGAGAGTTCTCCACTCAACTTTAGCTGTTTTTCTTGTCAGCACATGCTAGATTCCCCATAAACCCCTCATTTCTCTTTATTCATACAAAACTATCCACAGCAAGTTGCTGAAATGGCCTGTCTTGACTTTGTTGTTTAAAGTATATTCCCAAAAGCTGGAATAAGTTGAGAGCTTTTCCCGGCTGAGGTGCTGGTGGGGCTGAGGCCGAAGCTCCCTCTGGAAGCACCTCCGTGAGATGATGCTGCAGTGCTGCCACACCAGCAAGGCATCTGGTGCCACTGAGGCAATTCCAGCTCTACAGAGCAGCTGAACAACGTTTTTCAGGTCACAGCTTCAATGTAGATGCTCAAGGATCACCAACAGGTTTTTAGCTCTAGCTGTTGCCTTCGTGGGCATACGCAGTATTGCTGTTTGCATTTTAAATTATTTATTTGTCATAAAAAAAGAATGCCAAGAACAGAGCTTGGTAAAACGCCTGCTTATCTTATGGAAAAACTTGTGTGAGCTCTGTGTGATGATGTGTTTGTGTGGTGTGGGTGAAGAGGATAAAATGCTGCATTTTGCTAAGCTTTTTTTCAGACGTGGTAGCTGCTGGTGGATAGTTACTTAAGGCTGTGTCACTTAGAAGGCGGCACTTTTTCTACTAACATGAACCCATGACAGGGCATAATATTTTTATAACATTACATCAGGTGTTTAATTTCGAGACTGAACCATTTGAGTTGAACTGGGAGACTGAAAATACGATCTGCATTGCCACCTACTGGATTTCTAAGGAAGTACAAAATATAATTTCATTCCACATTTAAAGTAATTTAAAATGTTAACTACATTAAAGAGACACAAATCTTAATACATTTTTTATAAAACCTGCGCAGACAGAGCATATATATGCAAATGCGATATTTTGAAGCTTTCTACTCTTCAGCATATATGTGTAAATAATGTAGATAGGTATTTGAAATAGCTAAATATAATTTAATACATGAATTTAAAACAGCAAAAGAAGCAATAATATAGTCTGTTAAAAAATTACAGCCTTCAATTGTAATTTAAATAATTAAAATAATAAAAAAATAAATATACATCTTGGTCCAGGTCCAAAGAATCCAACAACATAAATGATAATTTCTCTGTGTTATGTAACAATTTTTGATCAGACAATGTTATAAATGGCCTCAATGTTCATTGTTTGTCCTCCTAATTATATCAGTGAGCTGTCTGAAAAGTTTAAATTATGTAAGGTATTTATGACAAGTGTTCTCCAAGGCTTACAAGTTTTTGCTAAGTATATGAAGATGTGAGTAAAGCCTTGAAGAATTGCCTATCAGTATTTTTTTTACTAGTTTACACTGTAAAAAGTAAAAGTCTTACCATCAAATTAAAATAATGAATGTTCAAATGAAAATATGGTACATATATAGCACAGCTGAAGCAGGGGTTTTTGTGAAATACCTTTGAAAAAAAAGGGGAGGAGGAAGCCATCATGTTTTCTTGGAGAAAAAACAGCAGCAACCTAAACATGTGTTGAGTTGTATGTACATGGTAAAAGTGAGCGGGTTAAGTCTTTCCCTGTAGGCATGCAAAGTGTGTGTTGGTTTTTGTGCACTGTGGGTGGTGATGCTTGATCCCCTTTGCAGCTGCAGCAAAGTCCCGAGGCTGATGTCCCTCTCCAAGCTGCTCAGTCTCTCCAGTATTTTAGCAACAGAAGAGTGTGGTTTAGTCACAGGAGATGTGATTTGCCCAAAGACTCTCCCATGGTGGGATCTTTTTTTATCACTCGTGTGTGCCATGCCTGTGAGCGTGGAATGGCAGCGCCCTCCCCAGACACGTCCACTCGTGTGGATGCAGCTCCTTGTTCAGAGTCTGCACGGGTGAAGTGCTGCAGCAATGTCTCAGAGTAAGCTAATCCTGCAAGTGCCCTTCACTTCAGTAGCAGAACCAGATAAATGTTTGGGTGCATGATGAAAAATCATATGGGTGTGTGCATATATCCCTCTTACACAGTGGTCTGGTTGCTCTTTCTGTAAGAGGGGATTGCATTGGTGTCTGTCTCAAGGCTCTGCCAAGCCATTGTATCATATGCTCTTATTAGGTCTTTAGTTTAACCTTTAGGTGCTTGTCTACATTAAGGAATATTTAATAGTTTTAAATTTTCCTTTCATCTGATGAAAATGTGCTCAATAGCCTGGAAGTTAAGGAACAAATCAAAACCTAACAACTGTATCTTAGTTCTTGCTTAATACTTAAAATACTTCTATATACGGCAAAACTATTGAGAGGGATTTTCTGCCACCATTATAGAAGAGCGAGAGATACAGAGATCCAGCTTTTTCCTCAAAAAGGTAGGAAAGGTGGTTAAAAAAAGAGCCAATTGAACCAGACCTGCTGTGAGCTGGGTAAGACTCTTTCTGTGAAATGTGCAGTCGTTTTCTCCAGTTCCGTTCTCACTGTAGATAAAATGCCAGCATTTCCTCAGTAGTGCTGTATGTGATATGCAAGATAAAGGTTTCAAGGCCCTCATAGTAAAACATGTCTTACATGGATTCAGAAATTAACAAATCTATAAACAACTGATACTCATTTATAAAGAAGTTTAATTTCATCTCATTTAAGTTTTGCCCAGTTTGTAGCATGTTCATCTATCTCTTGGTGCACACAGAAGGAAAAAAACATAATTGTCTTAATACTCTTCCTAAGCTTTGTTTGAGATAGAAATGTTCAAATGTAGAATTGGAAAAGAACAGGAAGAGGGGCAGCGCTTGCTGTTATCTTCCCTTTCCATGTTAGTGAACAGCCAGGGCTTTTGGTTTTACTCTAGTGGAGGAGAACTGAATTAAGTTTCCATGGTTTCATTTTTTAATAGAATATTTGATGTAATAAGAAATTTACCTACACACCTCTCCATTATTTAATTGCATTCTTTAAGCTGGTTATTATAAAAATTCCTGAATGTCTTCAGTTGTTTTTATGCATTATAAGTGAGAAGCTGTGTAAGATAAATTAATTCATATGTGTAATCCAGTTATATGGCAAAAAGTATTAAGTTTCTCCAGTATTTTGCCTAATTCTTTGACGTACTTTTCTCATCTTACTCAATACTGCAAAGGTTTTTAAGCAGGTTAGTAAAAAATAAAACAAAACAAACCCTTTGCTGCTCCTGCCAAGCTTTTGATTTGCATAAAGCGTTAAGTATAATGTATCATGTTTGTAGTTAGGGAGAATAGATTATTCAGTTGCTTAGCTTTTGCAGTTGTTGCACTCTCACTAGAATGCACCCATGTGATGTTACTGGTTTTAGTGTGAGAGCTGGTTGAAATACAATTTACGAGCAATAATATTCCTGTCCCACTGAATTATGTGTGTTTTACCACAATTCCTGTGAGTTAAGTTGAATTATCATTTTTTAGGCTTGAATATCACGTTAAAGTAAAAATATCCACATCACCAAAAAAAGTGTTTCATACAAATAACACAGATCATTAACATCTTAAAACTCCAGACAAGTTCTCCACACACACACATACACACACACAAGCCCACAGAAACATGGCATTGTGTCACTAAAAATACACTGGTTAAATGGTGTGAGTCAGTGCTAATTAAGGAAGTAGGTAGAGGTAGCTCAGTGCAGAGATAAAGGATATCACCAAGACCTCTATAGACAACACACCTACTGTTTCCATTTATTAAACTCAAGATTGCCTCTTTCTATTCATGATCTGTGTAATTGCTCATGATTTTTAAACGTTATCCGTGGAGATGTAGATTTGAAGCAGCATCTGGAAAAGCCTTACAGTTCTACATAGCATGTAGCAAAGACCAAGTTTTGCCCTTCTGGAATCTCCTCCTTGGGCTGGCTCAGGTCTTTTTGAGCTGTGTTTAGGAGGTGAGTGTGTTGTGCAGCAGCATGCTTCTCCAGATGGTGGGCATAGGGTCAGGGTGTTTGTTGTTTGGGGCAGCTGGAGGAGAAGTGCTCCTTCTTTCAAAACCAGTCTTCATCCTAGGAACCTGTGCACCTGCTAATGCTTCTGTATACTCCTACAGCTAAGCTGGAATATCCATAATGAGGGATAGCAAACTTTAAGTATTCACTCATACTTAACAAGAGAAAACACAACAGATTGTTAAGATACAAATTTGAAATAAAAATATGTTCTCATGTTCTTGTAAGGTCAGTGTCATCGCAGACCATGTTTTAAAATATCTGTTGCATGTGTTAGTAATCTAGATTTTGAAAGCACTGAAACTGGAGATTGATTTACATATTTTGATTACACCTGATGAATATATTCAGTTGGTTAAAAAGATGCAGATTTGTTCACAAAGTTATTTCTTTTATTCACTACATGGTAGGCAGTTTTGTTCAGTATATGCATTTGGATCAATTTCTGGTCAAGTGAAATGATTTGTATGTAATCTTTGAAGTAAGCCTTCAAGAATAAAGATGCCTATTTTTTTTGTCCTTTAGATTGCCATATACAGTCTTCTGTGTGCAGTGTGTATTTGATATGAGGTGCATGTAGTATTGTGAGCAGGCCCAGAATATTAGATGGAGTTGCAAACTGAAGAAATACAGAGTAGTAATCTTTCCTCCTATTCATGCTGTATAAACTTTTTTCTCATCTATGCAGGAGGTTGCATCAACAATTTGAAAGCTATAAAGAGCAAGTAAGAAAGATAGGGGAAGAAGCCCGCCGTTACCAGGGAGAGCACAAGGATGATGCTCCAACATGTGGAATCTGTCATAAAACAAAGTTTGCAGATGGTTGTGGCCATTTGTGCTCTTATTGCCGGACCAAGTTCTGTGCTCGGTGTGGAGGTCGTGTCTCTCTGCGATCAAACAATGTAAGTGTTCTGATGTATGCTCTTAAGGAAAAGCCTCCTGACATTGCCATGCTGCAGATTGTTCACTTTAAGTTTGGCATTTCATGCTTCATTTTACCTAAGTGTTTCGTTCATTGCTTCATTATGATATGTGTATCATACACGTAAATCAATGTAAAATCATACAAGTAAAGCAAATGTATCTAATGATTGCCAAGGTACTTGGGAATCACAGAGTTAATTAAAGCAAAAGAGTAATAGTGTCCAGTTCTATGGAGCGAAAGCTTGTAGAAAATATACTTGTTTTTCATGGAATGAAAGAAACCCTTTTGCTCAGGTACAACTCCATATTAATAAATTCTTATTGAAGCCTTATTTAATATTACATTTTTATTTTCATAGAGCTTGTCATAAACATTTATAGATTGCTTTTACATTAAGTCAGTCAGCTTTTTGGTTTAAAAAAACCAAAAAACAACCACTTTGCTTGGCACAGGAAAAGTGTTATGCCAATTAATTTAAAATTTATTTAAAGAATAAAACTTCAGATTAGTCTGGATTAAGCATCCTACTTTCAGGTAAGTGAAATGAATGGTTCTCCCTCTGATTTGCATGAGTTAGCTGCAGCAGCTTTCCACAAAACCAGATATTATCCAAGAGTACCCTCTGGTCAGTCAGTCCCTTCCAAGCCTCTGACTACTCTCTCATACTAGAGCAGTAAGATCTAAATTTGGAATACTGTTTTCCAGTGATTATTTTTGGCTGGTCATCAAGAACTATGGTGGGTTGTAAAACTTTATGAATTTTAAAATGTTTTAAAATTTAAAATATTTTATATAATTTATATTATCTATATGTATAATTTATATAATATATATAATTTATATAAAATAATTTTTATATATAATTTAAAATAAAATGCTGTAAATTTTACACATCTCTTTTTATTACGTGAACAGTTTTATTTTTTGACATGAGATGAGGCAACTTTCTTGTGTGACTTTAAGATGCCAGGCTTTTGTAGGGTAAATTTATAGGTGCTCTTGGTATTGACACAAATTCACCTAAAAGTGAACACAGATTGTATAGCAGATAATCATGTTCACAAAGGAACGAGTTTGTGGCCTTTTCACTTTTTTTAAGATGGACATCAGCTGAATAGGCCTTCTGAAATTTCATGTAAAGCAAAAATGATTCCTCAAAAAGATGTATTTCATGGTTGTTTTAGAGATTTTCCATAGGCCTCGATGTACCTGTGAGTCTCAACTAAATTAAATTCACATGCTGAAGAGAACTATGTAGGTAAACTGAATGAAAATGTATTAATATTAGTAAAAATAGATGCATTGCATTGTGTCACCTGTAGATGGTGTCATCAGAGCAAGTCTCTGAAAATATAGTTTACTTTGATGCGTTACATTATTCTATTAATGAGTGCATGTGATACAGCTTAACTTTATTCAGAAAAAAAAAATGGAAATGTATTTTAACCATTTTTCACCCCCTATTTCAAGCCACAGAAATGGAAGAGTGTAATTTCATTTGTAACTTGCATTTTGTTTCTTATATTGTTTATGCTTCTGTGGGTCAAGGCACGAAAACATGTTTTCAACATATACAGTAATGTCATCTTTTTATTTAAAGCTCTTTTGTTCTTAATTTTGTGGTTTTGTCTCTTCGTAGAGAGTTATTGGAATTGCATTTCTTTGAAATCTGTCTAATAATACTTGCCTATTTTATTCTTTATCTCTTCTTTTTTTCTTTTCTCTTTTTATTCTGCTTCCTTGGATGCTTTCCCAAAGGAGGACAAAGTGGTTAGAATCCATGCTTTTTATAATTTATTGTTATAATGTTGTTAGTTAACTGGGATACATATTAATGTGAAAAACTGAACTGAAATTTCATAATCACCCACAGGGGAGGGGGGAAAACAGGAATCCTGACACCCAGGCCCTGCACGTCCCTTAGCTGAACATAGGCCTTGAAGACAGCTCAGCAAGGAAACCCAAGACTCTAGTCAAAGTTATGACAATGAAAGAAATTAAGGACTGAGAATTATTTATAGGCTAAAAAGTAGAGGAGCCGATAAAGTATAATAAAATTTTATTTCATAAATACATCTTTAGTTAACTGTTTTGACTTTTTGCATGCAAGGTCCTTCCATCAGCTTCAGGAAATCTAATTTAGTACTTAATTCTAATTTTACACTGTTTTACATGGTTTGCTGTGTTTCACCTCTAGCTGCAGCAGAAACTCAGGGAATTCTTGTAAAATCAGCTTTTTGATTGACATTTGGAATAATATATATAGGCAAACAAACTGGACGTAAGTATTGTGAGCAAGGTGGAGTGAATCCTTTCTGAATGCATAGTTATAATTTTAAAAATCTGCAGAACTTTTAGGATCAAGCACAGGCATATTCCCCAGTGTTGCCTGTGCCTTGTCTCAGAGAGGTGAGGGGAGTTCCCTGTTCCTCTCTGCACCCTGTGCATGGCATGAGGTGTGGCAGTGCCTGAGCAGAGCAGTGCACGTGCATTTGCCTCCTTTTCTGGGGCACTTCTGCAAAAGGTAGTACTCCAGATTTTTAATTGGAGTATTAAGTATGGCAATTAGGTAGCTTTTCTGGTACCTCAGCTGAAACAAGTGTAAATTATTTACAATCCAGTGTAGCTTTTGATATTTTCTTTGTTGAGTTATGCTTGCAATATGGTGTTATGTGTTTTGCCCCCATTTTAAATACTAGCACATCTGTAACCTGAAATTTAGTATTGTTTAAATTCCCAGAGGAAATGATTTCTATCACATTTGAGCATTGCAGTAGGTTTTTAATATGTTAGTATTACAGCTACTCTGAAGATATATTCTGAAAACATATCTGACTTGTTTGGATTCTCCTAAATTCAATTAAATACATCCTTATAATTTGCACTTGTCTTAGTTCAGGTTTTTCCAAAGGCTTAGGTTAGTTTAGGTGTTGAACACCAGTCTTCCACATGCCAAGAAAATGCCTTAATAGTAATGTGTGAAAATAAATTCTATATGGTGTGATAAAGCTGAGCTACTTCTCTTTAACAGCTGAAAAGTTAATGATAATAACTAGTCCTGAATGTGTGAAAAACTTGGGGATCACTTCTTTAAAGTACCATTGCTTTAGCAGTGCCTCTCTCTAAAAGTTAATGTAATATATAGAATTAGTTAATTTCAAAATATTAATATATGCCTAAAAATAGCATGTTTTAGAACAATTGGTATAATTAAAATAGAGCAACATGAGAAAAATATTATTTCTTAATTATTTTCAATGGCTCAACATTCCTGACAAATTACATATGGCAAGTTTCATATCAGTAAAAACTTTTAAAATGTATTTATCCCTTAGTGTCCACATGAATTTTTTACCACAATAAATTGTCTTGATACCAAACACATGCACCAAGTTTCTTCATCGTTTGGCAAGGATGCTGAAGTGTGAATTACCAAAGTGTCAGCTCAGGAAAAGTCAAATGTTAACTTTGATTCAGGTGTTTCCTGTAGGGTTGGAGAATTAATGATCCCTCACCTGGGGTGTTGTTTCCCATGCATTACCCATCTTTACAAATACAAATTGTGGCAGGCACAAAGAAAGTCAATCAGAGTATGATCCAGAAAATGGAGAGCTGCTCATGTGAGAGGAGGCTGGGGAGATTAAGGGGACAAGACCTAAAGCAATTATAGTTGATAACTGGAAGTATGGAATTGATGTGTGGAAATGCAGAAAATTTAAACATGAGAATAGAGGACAGTGAATATATGAGACCAAATATGTACGACTTGGTCCTAAACACTCCTGGCTTGAAAAAAGATGTTTACAAGCATTACAGCCTTGAGAATTTATTTCATGTGGCTTATTGGAAAGAAAAAGAGCCCAATAAAACTTAAAGGCTAAATTTAATGAGGTTAGGGAAGGATTTATGTGATGTGGTTGCTTGTGGCTGTAGGGCAATGTACAAGGTCCCTAAGAGGTCCTTGCAGCTCTTGATTGTGGCTAAATATTTTAAAAATGTAATGCTTTGAAGCTTTTCTTGACCTTTTCAAATAAGTGCCAAATATTCCTTAAGGATTTTTTCAAATATATATACCAGGACTTAATATGTTCTCTCCTAATTTAAAATCATAAAGGACATCCCAAAACACCTTGTAGTGAGAGTTAGTAGTCGTCCTAGGCTGATCAAGAAATGACTCCATTACACTTCCAAAATTAATTGGCAATAACTGGCGTACTCTAGTGACTAATGAGTTACATGAATTTCAATTATTCTTGTTCTAAAATGTCAATGCATACTCAAATATATTTCTGAAGTTCTTTCATGCTTTTTGAGTATTGGTTAGCCCTTTGTACTTCTAACCTGAGTTTGCTCTCCTTTCACATAGTTGCAGGCAGACCACATTTAGTGGGTTTAATTCAATTTTATGTGAGATAAGATTTCAGAAGGAAGTCAGGTAGGTTTCTTTTTTCTTTGAGAGAAAGCTGACATTTCTATTTTGGCAGAATATCCTAGGTGGTTTTAGTTCTTTATAGAGGGCCTACACTTCCATTTTGAATCCTTTTAGTTCTGTTCCATACAGCAAGATTTTAATTGCCAAAATGGTAGTGGGTTTAAGTTACTTCCTTCTGTTCCATTCACTCTCTCCTGTGATGTGACATATTTTGATTATATTTTGGTAATATTTTGGAAATATTTTAGGGCAGTGGAAAAGTCGGGAAAATGTCCAACTAGTAGTTGCCCATGGTTTGGTAAGGGGTGGGAAGGGTCCAACCTCAGTCCTCCTGATGGACTGGCTGCCACTGCTTTCTCTGTTCTTCCCTGCCATGGTACCACAACCTTGTAAAGCAGAAAAATGACTGAAAATACAACTTTTTTTCTTTCCTCATTCCTGCAAAACTTTTTCACAGTATTTGGTTTGGTAATGCAAAAATATGTATTGCCTTTGTGATCACCTGCTCCGTGTTTCTTTCTCCTTATAGAAGAGGAGATACAGTATAGGATAAAAAAATGAATGAGCAAATGTAGTTACTTTGGATCAAAATTCAGATATTTCGTGAGGTGCTGTGTTTGTATTGAACTAAGTGAAATATGTATGACATTGACAGAATTAGGTGGAAGATCCATGTTCCAGATTAAGCTATATAATTATCCATAGCAATCAGTCTACCACTGTAGAGGTTTCATTAGGATTACTATTTTTTATCAACTTTCAAATGAAAAAAATAAGGAACAAGTGTTAAAAGTAAATGTTGTTACAATTTTCCTGTGCTTTGCAGAATAGAGCAGTTTGCTTTCTCTTTTTTCTATTTCCATACGTAAAGGGCAACTGGTGGGAAATCCGGATGTAAAATACATTATAAATATATGAGAATTTATGTCACTGAACTTAGTAGTATGTGGTTGCAGAAAATAATGCTGGTAATCAGTGCAGAAGAGAGTCCTGTTTCTGATCTGGCTCTCACTGAGATTGTTTTCATTTTAGTATAATATCAGTGATTTATACTTGGAAAGAAGGACAACTTGGAAACAGTTGCTTAATTGTGTGTCAGGTGGCTTTTTCAGGGAGCTTGTAATTTAGTTCCTTTAAATTATACTTAAAATTTGCTTACATAATGGCTTGCTAATTTAAGCCTTACCAACTTGACTACATATGCCATGTAATTCAGCTGTGTACTAAAGCTTTAACAGAGGTTGGTAATATTGTCAGAACAAAATGTCTGGATTGTCAGGATTTTTTTTACATCTCTTGAACAGAACTCCTAGGTCAAATTGTCCATTAAAAGACTAATTTCTGTATGCTCTGACTAACACAGCTGTAGAACAAAACAGAAAAATCCAACAGAAGGATGTAAATTACATAGCAAATTGCAAATTGATAGCAGATACATTTTCTCTCTGTAGCATTCAATGTAATTTGTTTCCAAAAGATATGGGGTTTATATGCATCATGAAAGAAGCACTGCTTTTCAGTAATGCCTCCCTAGAGCTGCTGCTTCTAGCAGGGAAAAAAAAAACCAAACAAAGGCCAGCAAGAAATTGAGGAATTCTATTTCAAGTAAGGGGGGAGGGATCATTGTCCTCTGCTTTTGGGAAGTTAATTTGCTTTCAAACAAATACAAGTGTATAAAATTTCTGGGGAAATCCTTAAAATTAGCTTGCTCTTCACCAAGTTTGCTGAGAATCTGTATGTATAAGCATGTATTGTACAGATTTTTCATAAGCGAATGTACATGCATCCTACTACAATGCCTAATACAGGAAGTACAGGGCAACCCAATTTTTTGACCTTTGAAATCTGTTAATGATTGAAGGTATTTAAATCACCTGAGGAGTTATTGTTTATGTGCCCATTTCTCTGGACAGAAAGAGATGTTATGCTATAGCAGTCACAGAATCTCTGAAGGACTGAGGTTGGGGTGGTCGTCTGATCCAACGCCCCAATGTTAAGGGAACTTGCTCCTTCCAGCTTGGCATATTCATGTGTCTTTTGCCTTGCAGAGTGAACAGTGGTAAACTCAAAGATATTTCATGTCATTTTTGTTATTTGTTTGCTTATTGTAACTATACACATTATAGGCTTACACAAAATCTCCTTAAGTTCTGTTAGGGAATAATTCTGTGACTTACAGCTTTGGACAAATGAGTTTCAGAATTTTACAGAATCCTTTAGAGAGAACACTATGTTGATTTTTTTCAGCATTCAGAGAGAAAGAAACACCAAAGCTACCAAATCAATGTTGAGCTTTTCATTTCTTTCAATGTAGTATTTTTATCATTTTAACACTCAT